CGAGTTTCAGCTCACTTGCCAGGAGCAGTTACAGTCATTAGGCCTTTTGGAGTCGAGAGGAGCTGACTTTACCGCTCATTAGTTCCGTGGGCCAGCCAGGCAGTGGTGGCGCACGTATCGGGAGTCTAGGCTAGTTGGATCTCCTCCTATATCTTGGAGTGAGTTCTCAGAGACTTTCTTGGCCCGATTCATGCCACGGAGCGTCAGAGACAGGCTTCATGATCAGTTCTCTAGATTGGAGCAGGGATCTATGACCGTTTCAGAGTATGAGGCGAGGTTCCATGAGTTGTCTCGCCATACTACTATGATCCTGCCCACAGAGGGAGAGAGAGTTCGTTGTTTTGTACGTGGGTTGCGATACCGTTTGAGGGTTGACACAGATCATATGGTTTCAGCTGGCCGTTCTTTTCTTGATGTGGTCGATCATGCCCGATCCATGGAGCATATTCATCGTGAGGCCCAAGGGGGCAGCGATAAGAGGGCACGCTACCAGGGCAGCTATAGCGAGTCGTAGACTAGGGGGAGGGACTCATATGATAGGCCACGTCAGAGGTTCTAGCAGGGTCACACCAGTCGGCCTGTTCAGGCGGCATTACCTATTTTTGAGGGAGGTCAATATTAGTAGAGTGGTCCTAGTACAGGCCAGAATTCAAGGGGATCGGATTCTTTTCCTCCATGCCGCGGTCGGGTTACTACAGGGCGTTCAACTTCGGGGTGTTATGATTGTGGTGCTCTTGACCATTGGTCTAGAGAATGCCCCCGGCGAGGTCGGGGGGTGATTGTACAAGCTCCACCTACTTCTAAACCAGTTTCAGCCGTGTCTTCTTCTGCTAGAGGAGGTGGTCAGATTCAAAACCGTCGAGAGAGTCGACAGGTTACCAGGGGTGGAGCTCGGGGAGGCAGGTCAGGTGGTAGACCGGGTGCACCAGGTAGAGGTGCTCAGGGCCATTTCTACGCTGCCCTGACAAGGGCGGCTGCTGAGGCATCTGATGATGTCATCTCAGGTACGCTCTTCTTGTGCCATCAGCCTGCTACAGTATTATTGGATCCAGGGTCCACATTTTCGTATGTATCTATTTATTTTGCTCTCCGATTGGGTATGAGGTACGAGTCTTTGGAAGAACCGGTTCATGTTTCGACCCCGATAGGTGAGTTCTTAGTAGTGGATCAAGTATTGCGATCTTGCTTAGTGACCATCCAGGGTTATGATACTAGAGCTGATCTTATTATGCTAGATATGATTGATTTTGATGTGATTTTGGGCATGGACTGGTTATCCCCATATCATGCGGTCTTGGATTGCTATGCCAAGACTGTTACCTTATCCATGCCTGGTGTTCCCCTGGTATTGTGGCAGGCTGCTTATAGTCACACACCGACGCGGATAATCTTTTTTATTTGAGCTAGGCGGTTGGTTTCTTCTGGGTGTTTAGCGTATTTGGCCCACATCAGAGATGTGAGTAGGGAGGGCCCTTCAGTTGACTCAGTTCCTGTGGTTAGAGAATATGCAGATGTGTTCTCTATAGATCTACCTGGCCTACCCCCAGAACGTGACATTGATTTTGCTATAGATTTGGAGCCTGGCACTCGTCCTATTTCTATTCCGCCTTATCCGATGGCTCCTGCAGAGCTCAGAGAGCTCAGTGTACAGGTAAAGGACCTCTTAGAAAAGGGGTTCATTCGTCCGAGTGTGTCGCCTTGGGGTGCTCCTGTTCTGTTTGTGAAAAAGAAGGATGGGACTTTGAGGATGTGCATTGACTACAGACAGCTGAACAAGGTGACGGTGAAGAACCGTTACCCTATGCCTCGTATAGATGATTTGTTTGATCAGCTTCAGGGTGCCGTCATATTTTCTAAGATTGATTTGAGGTCCGTGTACCATCAGCTGAGGATTAGAGCAGCAGACATCCCTAAGACTGCATTTAGGACTCGTTACGGCCATTATGAGTTCCTTGTGATGTCTTTTGGGTTGACTAATGCCCCAGCCGTCTTCATGAACTTGATGACACGTGTGCTCAGGCCATACCTTGATTCATTTGTTATTATCTTCATTGATGACATATTGGTATACTCGCGGAGCCGGAGTGAGCATGAGCAGCATTTGAGGATAGTGCTCCAGACTTTGAGAGATCAACAACTTTATGCCAAGTTCTCAAAGTGCGAGTTTTGACTTGCGTCTGTAGCATTCTTGGGGCACGTGGTGTCCAAGGAGGGTATTAGGGTAGATCTGACGAAGATTGAAGCTATTCGTGATTGGGACAGACCCACTTCTGTTACTGAGGTTCGTAGCTTTGTCGGGTTAGCGAGTTACTACAGGCGTTTTGTTGAGGGTTTTTCTACTATTGCAGCTCCTTTGACTCGGTTGACTCGCCAGGATATTCCCTTTGTGTGGTCGGAGGAGTGTGAGATGAGCTTTCTGAAGCTCAAGGAGTTGCTTACTAGCGCTCCTATATTGACTCTTCCGATTGAGGGTGAGGGTTTCACGATTTATTGTGATGCGTCTGGTGTTGGTGTGGGTTGTGTATTGATGCAGCAGGGCCGGGTTATTGCGTATGCGTCGAGGCAGCTTAAGGTCCATGAGCGCAACTACCCCACCCATTACTTGGAGTTGGCAGCGGTAGTTTTCGCGCTTAAGATTTAGAGGCACTACTTGTATGGAGTTCGATGTGAGATCTATACTGACCACAAGAGTCTTCAGTACATCATGAGCCAGAGGGACCTTAATTCGAGGCAGCATCGTTGGATTGAGCTCCTGAAGGATTATTATCTCTCCATTCTCTATCATCCGGGCAAGGCGAACGTGGTAGCAGACGCCTTGAGCCGAAAGGCGGTGAGTATTGGTAGTCTAGCCTTCTTATCTGCAGGTGAAAGACCCTTGGCTTTGGACATTCAGTTTTTAGCCAATAGCATGGTTCGATTAGATATATCAGATTCTAGACGCGTCTTGGCTTATATGGGAGTTCAGTCTTCTTTGTATGATAGGATCCGTGGTTGTCAATTTGAGGATAAGGCCCTGGGGTCCCTTAGAGATCGAGTGTTAGCGGGTAATGGTGATCAGGCTACCTTAGATCCTGATGGAGTGTTGAGATTCGCTGGTCGCATTTGTGTCCCGAGAGTTGGAGATTTGATACAGTTGATACTTTCGGAGGCTCATGAGTCTAGATATTCTATCCATCCGGGTACAGCGAAGATGTATAGTGATTTGAGACAACATTACTGGTGGAGTGGCATGAGACGAGATATTGCTGACTTTGTTTCTCGTTGCTTGTGCTGCCAGCAGGTAAAGGCTGAGCATTTGAGGCCTGGGGGTGAATTTCAGGGATTACCCATTCCGGAGTGGAAGTGGGATCGCATTACTATGGATTTTGTGGCTGGTCTACCGAGGACTTCTAGAGGATTTGATAGTATTTGGGTCATCGTTGATCGATTGACCAAGTCAGCACATTTCCTTCCCGTTCAATCTTCATTTAGTGCCGAGAGGTTGGCTCGTATCTACATTCGAGAGGTGGTTCGACTTAATGGGGTGCCAGTTTCTATTATATCATATCGGGGTTCTCAGTTCACGTCTAGCTTTTGGAAGACCTTTCAGGATGAGTTGGGCACCCGGGTTGACCTGAGCACAGCTTTCCACCCGCAGACTAATGGTCAGTCAGAGCGCACTATTCAGTTCCTTGAGGACATGCTACGGGCTTGTGTTTTGGAGTTTGGTGGTCAATGGGACCAGTTCTTGCCTTTGGCAGAATTTGCATATAACAACAGCTACCATTCTAGCATTCTGATGGCCCCGTTTGAGGCATTGTATGGTAGGCGTTGTCGCACTCCAGTGGGCTGGTTCGAGTCTACAGAGCCTAGGCCGCGAGGTACAAATTTGATTCAGGAGGCTTTGGAGCAGGTGAGAGTAATTCAGGATAGACTCAGGACAGCTCAGAGTAGGCACCAGAGTTATGCGAATCGGAGGCGTCGACCTTTGAGATTCTCTGTTGGTGATCGTGTATTTCTCCGTGTGTCGCCCATGAAGGGTGTGATGAGATTTGGGAGACGGGGTAAGCTTAGCCCCAGGTATATTGGGCCTTTTGAGATACTTCGGACAGTTGGGGAGGTTGCTTTTGAGTTGGCCCTACCTCTAGCATTTTCACCCATCCATCCAGTTTTCCATGTCTCGATGCTACGTCGATATATTCCTGATGAGTCCCATGTGCTCCAGTATGATGCAATTGAGTTGGATGATCATTTGACATTTGTAGAAGAGCCAGTTGCCATCCTAGCCAGAGATGTGAGGAAATTGCGCTCGAGAGCCATTCCTATTGTTAAGGTCTGTTGGAGGCATCGTTAAGTCGAGGAGGCTACCTGGGAGACCGAGCAGGAGATGCGAGAGCAGTTTCCCGGCTTGTTTGAGCCTTCAGGTACTTCTTGACCCTTACTTTCGCGGACGAAAGTTCTTTTTAGTAGTGGATATTGTAATGACCCTTATTGTCATTTTTAGTGTTTTATCTTCTGTACATTATTTAGAGCGTTCCTATAGCGATTCCAAGTCATTTATGACTTGTTGGGACTGACTGATCGGTCACCTGGTCATTCGTTTGGTTATTGTGTGAGTTTTAGTATTTTTGGAGCTTATGAACCTTGAACGATCATTCTCGATCAAAAGTTCAAGAATATGATATCAGAATCCAATTCTGACGATTCCATCAATTCCGGAAGGGTCATTTTAGTCTAGTAGCATTGTCGACATGACTCCCAAAGTTTTCAGTGTGAGTTGGTGGGATTAGGCGTTTTAACTTTAAGTTTAAAGGCTAAGTTTGACTTTAGTCAACATTCTGAGTAAACGCGCTCGGATGAGAATTCCGTCAGCGCGGTTAGCTCCGGAATGTCGAGTTTGTTCTAGTTTTACCCTTCTTTCGGGTTTTGAGGTTTTTGATATTTTTCCGAGCCCTATTGTGGTTTTTGACTTAAAATGACCAACGGAAGTGGGACCCACATTTTATCGAGATGACCTCTGATGAAAATTTCGACTGCGCCTTTGAGTCCGGAATGTCGACTTTGGTAGGGTAGCATATCCATTTTATTCTTAGCAGGTTCCGAACGAATTCCGAGCACCCGTCGGAGACTTTAAAGAAAGTAGGCAAAGCTGAATCTGGTGCAGCCCCTATAAAAACCCAACTTTCAGCTTTGTATCTTACTTTAGAATCTTGATATCTTGAGCTATACAACTCCAAATTGGGCGATTCAAAAGGCTAAGTTGTGAGATTTTTCGAGGGCAACGCATTGGTGAGCTTGGAATCTGATTTGGGGACCCGATTTGAGGTAAATTTTGGGTTTTAACTGCTGTCTAGCTCATTTTCGAGCACAAGTTTTGGGTTTTTTTAGAAGGTGATTTCTTGGCCATTTTAGGTCCGAATCAAGTGATTCAAGAGCCAATATTGTGTGGTTTTTCATGAGGATCGTCGTGGTGTGGTTGGTTTTGGCTGTTGGAGCTTCATTTTTGGTAAAATCTTGTAAGTAGCTGCTGCCATAGTTGCTGATTTTTAGCTTAGAATTTGGGTTCTTTTGTTGCATGTTCATGTTGGGACTGTTTTTAGTCCTGAATTATGCTCCATTATGGTATACAAGTTTCGAGAGTTATTTAGGACTTTTATTTGGGGTTAATTCGGGATTTCTCAATGCGGATCCCACTTTTTCCATTTTGACCATGAAATTGACCCGTCTCCGTTTCTTGCGATTTTAGTGTATCAACGTTTCGAGGCCTTTTAGAAAGTAAAAGATCCGGGGAGTGAATTTTGGAGCGCGCGTGATCTGCGTTCAGGTAGGCTATGGTTTCTCTTCTTAGATTGAACTCGAACATGTGAATGCATGTTGATTAGTTGGGATTTGGGTTGGGTAGTTATTGGATCATCCATAGGTGTTAAGAATCATATTTTCGCCCTTTTTCTGAGAATTATCGGGTAACTGTGAGCATGTTTATTGTTATTAATTGACCTTCTTTGCTATATGAATTATTTGTATGTTTGAATACTGGTTGTCAGAAGTATGTTGGGCCTTAGTTTAGGGTTGACTAGGGTTTTCCTTAGAAATGCATGATTCAAAGTCGGTAGGACTTAGTTTAGCCCCGACGTCACTCGGCCGGCTTAAATCCTTGTAGACTGATGTAGCAGACTTGAGTCTGATAGTTGGGTATTTAGAAAGACGATGAGCTTGCTCTAGCGATAGTTACTCTTATTTCTTCGATGTTACGGCTTCTTGAGTTACGTCAGTGACAATGATTTCCGCTCCGTGATTCAAAGTTGAGTTCGATTCAGCTTTAAGGACTTACATTGATTAGCTAAGTCTGGATGGTGTTCCACGGGTTTATATGATTATGGATAGATAAAGACTCTTTCAGCAGCCATATCGACATCTTTGTCGGGTATCCGGATTTAAGGTCCGGCCTCGAACATCCACATACTTATGTAGAGCGTCCGGTTAGAGGTCCGACCTCAAGTATGTAGAGCATCCGGTTAGAGGTCCGGCCTCAAGTATGTAGAGCATCTGGTTAGAGGTCCGGCCTCAGTTACTTATATTTTGCAATTGGCTACTTGTGTAATTCTGGTGAGTGTCCGGTTCAAGGCCCGACCTCCGTACCGTCAGATTTTACTTTTTGGTTCGGTGTTCTTCGGCCTCGAGTTACATTCTCCTTAAGTTATAGTTATTTTGTGTACTCGTCGGGCTTATGGGGGTCCGTTCGGGTTTTTATTTAAACTTGTGCACGAGTGTACCTTCTGGGCTTATGGTTGGTCAAGTTAGGTGTAGTTAGCTTATTTATATTAATTTAGTTAGATTTTTATACACTCGTGTGCTTTATTGTGTTACTTAGCCTTCTGTTCTTGACCTCTAGTTTTGTGATTCCGTCTTTTCATAGTGCTTTACTTTTCTAGTTCAGTCGGCCTATGATGCCTACTGGGTAGCTGTTTTTTTTTGGTACTCATGCTACGCTTTGCATCTATTTTCGTGATGCAGGTCCGAGCACCGGTAGTCAGCGTTGATCGAGTTTGGAGAATTTCTGGTCTGGAGACAGGGGTGAGCACACAACGTTTTGTACTATTTCAGTCTCCATCTGTTTATATAAAGATTTGTATTTAATTTTTCGAGACAGTCTAGTTTCGGTGGTCCACTGTTGGGACTTGTACTCATTTTGTTGGTAGCTCTGTATTAGTGACTTCCAGGTTCTGGGAGGGATCCTTTATTGTATTTATGTTTTTGTTTGCTTATGTTGTTATAGTAATTTTTCTTAGTCTTGTTTAGCTTCTACCCTCACACCTTGTATGTGTGGTTCTGGGTTGTGGTTTGGCTTACCTACTGATGGGTTATAGTAGGTGCCTTCATGGCTCGAGAAATTGGGTCGTGACAGGCTGATCCCAAATTGTGTAATTATGAGGACCGCATACCAGAGGTTAATATGCCTAGCATGGGCCATCCTCTTCTACCACTTGTATCACATACCCTACAAAGATTATAACATACAGAAAAGTAAAGAAAACAATGTAACTTACATGATCTTACAAGAGTAAGCAAATGTGGTCTTCTCTTCATATGTATGCACTTATATATTTGATACATGATTTAATTTCAGCCATCATATTACATATGTTGTATTGCCTTACATATCCAGTACATTTTTCGTACTGAAGTTCCTTGCTGGGGATGCTACATTTCATGCTGCAGGCACAGGTATTCTAGCTAGTAGACCTTCTCAGTAGGAGCATATGACACTCGGATACTTTTGGTGAGATCCAGGTTGATTCAGAGCTTTACTGAGTCCTTGGTAAATTCTTTTGTGTATTGTGTAGTAGTTAAGGGTAAGACGGGGTCTGTGCCGACCTACTCTAGGTCTTCTATCTTTTTAGAGGCTTTGTAAACGTATGTACATGGTTTAGTTGTGCCTTAAGGATTTTTGGCCTCAACGGCCATGTCTTGTATATAACTATTTGGTCTACTTATGTTGGTTTTTTATAACTGCATCCTTTTTGAACTTGTCATGATTGTTATAGTTATATGCATAGTAAGTACATATTTTATATTAGTTCTCTCGGGTCCTTTGGGCATCGTTTGCCTGTTCCTCTTAATGGGATTTGAGGTGTGACATCCGCTAATTTTGTTCCCATCAAGACTACCCACATGGCGGAGGATTATAGAAGGATCTTCATAGTTGAGATTGTGTGTGACCATGGTATTTCATTTTCCATAATATCGAATAGGGGGGCACAATTCACATCTAGGTTTTGGAGGTCATTCCAAAAAGGGTTGCGTACGAAGGTGAAGTTAAGCACCACTTTTCATCCTCAAATGGATGGTCAAGTGGAGAATAAAATTAAAACTCTTGAAGGATATGCTTAGATCTTGTATTATTGATTTCACTGTAAATTGGGATAGACACTTGCTGTTGGTTGGATTTGCTTACAACAATAGTTACCATTCATCTATATCTATGGCTCATTATGATGCCTTGTATGGTAGGAGATATAGATCTCCCATTGGATGGTTTGAAGTGCCGATGTTCACTTTTGGGTCCCAATTTGATTTATAGGACTTAGAGAAGGTTCATATTATTAGGAATCACTTGAAAACAGACTATAGCCGACAAAAGTCTTATGCCAACCACAGGAGAAGGGAATTTAAATTTGAGAAGGTAATAATGTGTACCTAAAAATTTTGCCTATGAAAGGGGTGGTGAGATTTGTCAAGAAGAAGAAGTTGAGTCCTCGTTATGTCGATCCCTATGAAATCTTGCAAAAGATTTGTAAGGTTGCATACGAGCTGAGGTTAACTAGTGAATTGTCTTCGGTTCATCTGGTGTTCCATAATTTTATGCTTAAGAAGTGAATTAGTGATCCCGAGTCTATTCTTCCTATTGATAGTCTAGGTGTTCAAGACAACCTCTCTTATGAAGAGGTTCCGGTTCAAATCGCTGATAGACAAGTAACTAAGTTAACAAATAACGAGGGTGGCTTTCATAAAGGTGTTATGGAAGAATCACCTAGTTGATGGTGCAACCTAAGAGATTGAGGCCCACACAAAGTCCCGTTACCCTCTTATATTTGATAACAAAGGTTAGTTAGTTTTACTATTAATAAAAATAATAATTAAACTTGAAATTGTTTTGATTATTTGAAATGTTTTACAAAAATATTCATGTTATAGTGGATTACAGTGAAGTTATGCCTATATACTTGAAAATGTTATTTTTACTTGTTTTAAGTTTATGTTGTGCATTTTTCTATATCGTGCCTTCATGAATTGTATTGAGCTGGTTGGTATGTGTTGAATAAAGTCTTGGCATAATGAATAAGCATGAAATGAATAATGAACTCTTGAGTTGAAAATGATGTTTTGAGTTACATTTGGTAAAACCCATGTGATTATGTTAATTTTGATTGTAACTCATGTTTTGATGTGTTGTTATCTTTTGGGCTGCTAGTCTTGAGTCTATTCCTTCCTTTTAATAAATTTTAGTGTCATTCGGGAACGAATGTTCCTAAGGGGGGGATAATGTAATACTTAGAAAGTCAAAAGCCTAATTTAGAGCCTAACATGAGAGTCTAATAGTTATAACATTGTTTTAAGGTGAATTATACGGTATTTGAGTTATTTAGGAAGTGTTAGAATCAAAACGTCAAGGAACGTCCATGACGTCTGGAAATTAGTTCAAGAGGTGCTAGCGTTCCTTAGCCTATTTGACTAAGTTTAAAGAGTCAAAAAATGAATAAATTTGGTGGTAAGGTGTCTAATACTTATTAGAGTTAGTTTATAGTAAAAATGTTCAGGTATGACTCCCCAAGGACCAACCAAGTTCCCTTGCACTGTGGCAAAAAGCTGCCAAAAGGCAGTGCCTACCCACGAGTTGCAGGCGACGAGGCGACGATGCCGCATCAGACCAACAATTAGCAATTTTGGCAAATGTTCCTATTGGACCAGTCTCTAACATCAACGAGGGGTGTTCAGGACGGAGGGGCACATGGGTGTCAACTGACCTACGACCCTTAGTCAGGCCCTTGTGTTACTTAATTCATTTAATTAGTTAGTTTAGTTAGGAGTTTAATTAGGGAATAGGGGGTGGTTAATTAAGTTAGTTAAGTCCCTATATAAACTACCCTAAGCCTAAAACCTCACTTAACCCTCATAATCCCAAACCCAAATTTCTCTTCCTTCTCTCTTCCAAACAAACCCCATTGAAGACTTAACAAGGAAGGGTTATAGGGCTTAAAAGGATCAAGTTTATACATCAAACTTCTTCAATTAGTGAGGTATGCAATTCCTTTCACCTTTGGGATCTCTTTCCCCAAAGGGCTCCTTCAAATTGATTTCAAAAATATGAATATGAAATTCAAGTGGCTTTTCTTCCATAACGAAATTGATATGGTGAATTGCGTTGTTTATGATTTCTTTTGGTTATAATGAGTAGATTAACATGTATTATGGTTACATTATACTAATTCTTGATGTGTTGACCTAGTTTGTGGAAATATGACCTTTCCCCTTAACCCTAGTGTGTGATCTTGAATTGAATTGTATAGTATTGATATAATTTGCTTGGTTAGTGTGTGAATTACTATCATATGTTGTTATCATGATAAATTATGAGTATATTGTAAAATATTGTAATCCAGTTATGGTAGTTCTTGAATAATTGACCTAGGTTGTGAAGTAGACCATGAACTAGACCTAAGTCTCTAATTCTAGGCTATGAACTAGTGATGAATTGTTGTGTAGTGATTCAATTGACTTCATTATTATGTTGGTTACTATTGTGTGATGATATTACACCCACTGTTTTGTAGAATTCGATGGTTGATGGTAAGACCTTGATGATGAAATTGTGAAGGAGATTGGATAAGTCTTGTGATCTATATTCTTTACTTCAATTATGATTACTTATGATTAAGTGAAGATGTTGTGTTGAAGTATACCTTATGTTAATATTGCTAAGGTTTGTATGATGTTGAATCGTAATGTCTTCAACTACGGATTGTTAGCTAAGATGTAAATGTTATAAGGATGGTGATAACTACCAATATGCCTTATCATGATGTGATTACGCAAATGTGTTAAGCTCACATGTATGAATTGTAATGAAAGGAAAATACTCATGCAATTCTTATTGATCTATGATGATGATTATATAAGGAATAGACCCTCTGACCTACATTAATCTATGATGATTAATAAAGAAATTAAAGACAATTGAAACAGAGACTCTATCTTAGCACAGAGTGAACTACAGTGAGGAGGAATGTTGCTTCCTACATAAGGAATGTATGATCACTAATGTACTTATGAGATTGGAGACTATAATGCATGTAGCATAAGGAGGGTTCCAACTATATCTCTTAGTTCTTAAACTATGATACCCCCATAGGAATAATGGCTAGTGTATCCACAATAGATGTTATGTTCATACTTTGGCACTACTTTGGCAAGTAGTCCGCCTTCCTTCGGTGTAGGGTTCCATGACATCGGATTCCACATTAGCTCATGTGGTCTATGTCGGTTAAGGCAAGATGTTTCCAAAAGGTAAAATGAACTAAAGAAATGAACTCTAACTAGGATGACCTAAGGGGTTTATCATAGTCTAGATAGCGGTATGTGACTCTCTACCTACGCATTGCACTAGGTAGCCTTGAGGGAAGTCATAGGAGGGTTTCCTTATAAATGTAAATGATGTATATGATGATATTATATGTTGATGATACGGTATGATGTTGTTTTCACCTATAACATGTGTTTGGTCTCTATAGCTAAAGTATGATTCTATGTACTCTTAATGACATGTTATGTAAAGTTTGACATAGTTTATGGTTCTTGTTAGGTTTACTTGATTAAGTAAGGTTATGGGGATTTACTTAGTCATTACACTGGTATACTTAGTGAGGGTTCATGAGTTTTGCTTTGGTTATAATGTTATTAACTTTTATCCATGCTTGTTAATGTTGTGACTTGAGGATAGAATTGTCTTGACTATACAATTATGTTGATATGCATGTTGGCTTGATTAGAATTATTATGGTTGGTCTTGTGATGTACATGGTCTGAGTTCTTGTCTTATTTAATATGTCTTATTGATTGGTATGGTTTCTTGAAATGTGCACAAGGCTTTTCAAAGTAAATTGCATACATTATTAAAAGGTCCCTTTTTATTATGATTTTATGTTGTGTGTGCATGTGGTTTCATAGTTAGTACAAGTGATGTGCTA